AAAAGCTCCCGTGGGGAGCTCGGTGCGTGCTGCACCGGTGGGGTCCTGCTGGAGTGAAAACCGTCTCGTTAATAAGGGGAACAGGCTAAAAATTCTTCTGGTGTAGCAGGGGCTGTAATGAAGGGTGGGGAATAGAAGAAGCCAGATGGGAGAGGATTGCAGTTGTTTTTTGTACTTGGGATGTGGTTCCATGCAGCTTTTTCTAGGTTTGGAGGCAAATCAGTTGTGAAAACAACACTTTTTTTTCCCCGTTCCTTTTAAAGACTCTGGTGTGTGTTGTTAGGAGCGAAAGCTATCAGTATATGTGCAATGTGTTAGGCTATTAAAAAAAAAAATCACTAAGCTGCAGTTGACATTTTAGACTTTTCTGATTTTTTTTTTCTGGTTTTAGTTTGTTAGTCTGTCTTTCCCCTGGAATTAAGATGTAAAAAAAAAAAAGACACAAGCCTTTCTTCTTCTTGTAAGTAAGTTTTTAAGTCGCAGCTTTTATAGAATTAAATTTCTAACAGTATTTTTCTCATCTTGCTCATCAGCCCTGACTGCAAGGGCTGCTGAAAAGACTGCCCCTCTCTATTGGGTGCTGGAAATTGTCAAGTGATTAGTTCTCTAACCTGGCAGTCTGACTTTAAACTAGACTTATAGATGTGTGGAGAAAAGGAGTGGTCATATTTTGGCTCCAAATAGTAGGTTTATAACCAATAATTATATAAAGGTACAGGCTTTTAATTTTTTTGAGTAACAGCTTATAAATTTTATATAAAATGTCTGTAGCTAGTTTTATTTTTCATATATATTTGTATATGTATATATGAAACAGGAGGAAGGTCTCTGAAGAAGCTATTCTTAGTGACACTTTATTTTTCTGGATGGAATAATCTTGCACCAAGCTGACAGATTGGAGATAAGGTTTCTTTATCAGCCTATTGATGTGTAAACCTGAAACTCCTTGTTTGCGAACTTAATATTGTGTTGTTACAGTCAATAGCTAACTTCAAAATAAAAACTAGACTAAAACCAGAGTCTCTTGAAAATCTGAGTAGCTGTTTAAGTTTCAAACCTGAAATTGAAACTAGAAAGGCGACAGGTCATTGACTTCTTTGCGTCTGCAAGTGATTGTGTTTCTGCGTGTTTTTGGGCCCTTGCTGGGGAAAAAATACTTCATGTAGCAGCATAACTGAAGAGAAAAACAAGCTCTGAACACAACTTAAAAGATACAAGACTTACTACTTGAAGCAATTACTTTTATAATTCATACAAAAAACCTTATCCATTCTAAAAATACCAATTTCATGGCTAGAAATAGCATGAGTTTTTGGTTATAATTGTGATGCTTGCTTAGCTTTTTGTAAGCTGTTGGTTTATTGAATATCCAGCTGGATTAAAATGCATATATACTAGATAGTAATAATTATGAGTATTATAGGAAGAAAGAAAACTAAAGTACAGCCTGCACTGTGGGCCTTAAAAGTTCAGTGCACGTGTAGGCTCAAGTTGGATCTCATTCCAACTGTTCTGAGACATATCTACTTTTTCTAACCTGACAGCACTTCACAGTTTTTCGATATGTTTTATTAAAGTAATAGCCAAATAAGCTTGAAATAACAGTGCACAAATTAACTGCTGGGCAGGGAAGCTGTCATACTTAAGAGAAGGTAATGAAATAGTTTTTATTCCTCCTCAAACTTCAGTTTGCTGGAAAAATTGAAGTTAAAATTGTCTTAGAACTGTCAGCACAGCTACCTGAAATGAAGTGTAGCTTTTTGTGAAATTAAACTGTCCAACAGATTTATGTTGAATAAAAAAGTGAGGTCAACTTAAAAATCACTTCTGTCTGAGAATATATACTTGAATAGCAACAAATGATGAAAACCAATTCACAATATGTCATAAGTGGTGGTAACGGTGGAATTACAAATAAGAATATTGTGGTTTTGCAATGAAGCTCTAAAACTAAAGCGTCCTTAAAAATATTTTAAAGCAAAACATAGTAGAAAAGACTGCAATTTCATCAGTCAAATCTGTTTGTATATTTGAAGTCAAATCTGTTTTAGTGAAAATACTGATGGGTTTTCTACTGGAGATGGAAAGTTTTGCTTAGCTTGACTGCTAAATCCTAAATTTATGTTTGCAAGCCTGAGACTTAAATGGGGAAGTGAAAATTCCTTTTAATTTCAGTGACTGTCATAGAAAGTTGTAATAAAAGAATCTCGGAATGATATACTCTAATTGTTTTTGTCTCAGATTAATTGTTCTAATTTAATCCTTCAGCTTTTTTAATGCAAGATTTCAGAGGTGTAGTTTCAGCCTTCCTTTCTGTTCCAACTTGTCTCCTATATTGAAATATTTCTTTACTTTTTTTGCCTTTGATCTGTAACTCCTAATCCCAATAAACTGTTCGGTGACTCTTTCACTGTAAACACTCTATATTAATTGAGCTAGCTGTTCAAATTCTTACTAGTGTGAAAACTCACTAATTTGTTAGTGGTAGCTACTGTCAGAATATCACTTCTGACTACTTAAATGATCCTTGTTTACAGATGTGCTAAAACTCAATAGCAGTCTTCAATCTCTTTATCTTGTGAACCTATTCTCTTCAAAACTGACAACTGACTCGTTTTTCATAACTAAGGATTTGCCAAACTTTACAATTAAAAAGCAATAAAAAGTGTCTATCTAGCTGAGTACCCATTAAAGCTGGCTTGGGTCAAGTTTAAATGAACATGTCGTCTATGGAGGCTGAATCTAAATTACATTTCAGTTGTCTTTAAGAAAAGTGTATCTAGAATTTAGCTTTCAGAAGTCTTGAAGACTTTACCTATGTAAGAGGAAGCTGGAGCACTAATGCCTGTCCTCATCTAACACAAATACAGCTTTGAGAATAGCTGTCTTGTTACATGGAGGAGAATGGAACTTAGCATGCCAAGATTTTGTGGGTTGTGTTACTGGAACAAAACTGGAGCAGTTTCTGTGTGCTTCTCAATTTGCTGGGGAGGTGCAGTGCCAGGTACCTGAGCAGTTGTTGCTGCAGAACTGCCCAAAATAAATTCTGCATTTTGGCTGTGCTATATTGATTTATGCTGCTCTATATCTGAGCACGGATACCTTGCTGGTTACAGCATAATTTATTTTGAGGTACTGATGCATGTAGCTTTCAATTTTTTTGCTTTCTAAACTGAAATCTACAATATCATAGTAGTGCTGGCTTTTAGTAGATATTTGTATTTCCTCCATTCTGTTTTGTATGCATTAAATTGCTTTTCTAACTTCCAAACACAAAATTAGGCCTTGCTAGATGATGAGAAATACCTGAATTGAAAAGACAATTTTTTAGTGTTTTATGTGTGCTTTTAGTAGATAAATAAGTTTGTACATATGAATTAAAAACAGCTTAACATCAGCACAGTGGATATGGGCTCTCCTAGTCACCTCATCTGGGTGCTGGTCTTGCTGGTGTGGAAGATTTTGGAGTTCTGCCGTGCATTTAATGGCAGTAGCAGCAAGCCTCAAGCATAAGAGCTTTAACTTGGCATTAATGAGACAGTGCTGCCAAGAAATAGAGGAATGCGTGGAGATAAGCCATTTGCCACACTCCTTTCCTGTTGTTGCACACAAAGAATCACGTAATGTTTGCTTCAAATAAAGCAAACTGTGGAGCCTGTGAAGTTATGAGCAGCAGATAAAATGCAGGCCATCTAGAAATCACTTTCTTTTGAAATGTTTTCCATAGGATTGAGATAACAATGTTGATGGAATACCAGGAGGAGAAACTTGCCCTTGCAAGACTCAAGTTTGAAATACCTGCTTCAAATGCCAGCACAGTCCTTGAATTTCTAGGAGATTGTTACAATTATTAGTATAACGCTTACATTTCATTAGAATTTATTTTGACTATGAGGCGAAGTTATGATGATCTAGATTTTTAAAGTTGGGGATGATATAAAAGACAGTAGATAACTAAAATTAAAGTCAGGAGGACATAATCTTTATGGCTCTGAGTCTACAGACAGCCAACGAAGCATGTTGCTGAGATCAGCTGTTAATTCAGTGCTGGCATCTCAATAACAGGAAATAGTTAGTGTGTGTTTGCTCTACTTTGGGGAAGCAGTCTAAAAGCTTAGTAATTAATCGTTCTTGATTACTTTTTTAAAAACTTGATATCCTGATCTTTTTTACTAGTAAATAACCATAGTAGTTATGTATATGGAGTAAGTATTCTGATGAGCCTAGCATTGTACGTTCATTATGCACTTTTGTATTGAAACAGGATATTTTAACTAGTCAGTCTTCTCAAAGCTTATGTGACTACTATTGTGTTCTTAATACTTTGGCCTGAATAGCCTTATGTGTGCTGTGTTATGCTTTCTACCATTTTCAGAATTATTGCACAAATTGAGCTTTTGCAAAGTTAGGATTTTGCTTTCTGCAAAAAGCAAAAATTAAGTTTTACTCCCCCTCCCCTTTTTTCTTACAGGTAGAGCAAGTGAAATTACTAGATAGGTTCAGCACAAGCAATAAGTCACTGACGGGAACTCTATACCTTACAGCAACTCATCTGTTATTCATAGATTCAAGCCAGAGAGAAACGTGGGTAAGGATAACGAATGCTTGCGGCTCAAAAGCATAGGTTCTACAGATGCATTTGTTCTTCCTGATCTAAGGTTGAATTTGTTAACTGAAATGTTCATTTAAGTTATAAGTTATTCCCCATGCTCTCCTTGTTCATGGTATGATAGTAAGTTAATGATTTGCAGATTGTACTCTTGCACGACATGGCTGCAGTTGAAATCAGGTAGTGTTGAAAATGTTCATTTCTCTTCAAGCTGCTGTAATTTCTTCTATAGCCTTCACTTGTATTCCTGAGTGAATGTGTGGTGGTTTTCTTTAAACAACTGACTTGCACCACAATTCAGAGGCAGCAGTAGAAGACTGCTGGATAGTTTAAGCATCAGGTTTAAAATTTCTGCATTAACTTACCTTGTATTTAGATGCTGCCTAGGTTAAATGAGACACCAAAATCCAAAGATACAGGCTTTGGAGAAATATTGAAGATCCCGTGCTCTTTTTTTAGTGGTAAGCAGCTGTTTCTTTCCAAGTGTTCATCTCTGGAATAAAAGAATTCAGAAGGGGCTGCAGCTCCGTGGTGACCACTACCAATGTTGTACAATCAAAGTTGGCTAGTACAGTAATTCCCACTAGTTTTTCTGCTCAGTGCCCTGGTGGCACACATGTGGACATCAAGTTCTGGGTTCCACTGTAGTCCAACTACCTGACTAAGTTCAGTGCCTTAAGTTTATCATCCTCCAGGATGAAATCTCATTTCCCTGGGTGTAGTTAATTTTTTTTTCTGTAGGTGTATTACCTGTAGATGTATTTTTCTGGATTACCCTTAATCCTGTATCCCGGTTATCTGACTTTATGCCTCATGGTGCTTTCAGGAAAGGTTGTTTTTCCATGATTTGTTCTTGGATACAATGTACAATCCTGTACAAACCAAACTGTTATCCTTTCATACAGTATAGGCTATGGGGGAGAACGTGATTCAGAAGCATTACTTGTGTCTCCCTGTGTACTATGTTAAAGGTTTCATTTTGGGGAAATTGAACATATAGTCAGTATTGCATTTCTGTGATGATAATGCAAGTACCAAGTATAATTATGATAATGTCTCCAAGATATAGTCTTTTTGTAAATGCATATTTGGCAGCATAGTTTTCAGATGCCTAATTCTGATCAATATTTAAGAGGAGACGATTGCTTCAGTGAGGTAATTGAAATGCTATCAATAACATCTTGTTCAATTGAGGTAATGTATCTATGACTTTCTTCACATAGTTAAACAGCTGTTACTTTCCCATGTATTTTCTTAAATTTCATGTATATTTGCCACACAGATAAATCTATGGAGGGCTTTTGTATATCCATTACTGTGACAGTCTTCTGTTAGAGGGGTTGAAAGGCATTTGGCTTTGGCATTCATGTCTATATAGCACAATGGGTAATACAGGAGATGTTTTCTTATCTCCTGTTCATTCTAAAGATGTTGAATACTGGAATTCCAAAATCTTCAGCATCTTCTGTGTCTTTCATGTGTTGAGTTGCTTTCCCTGATATGCTTTATTTTGCCTGAAAATTCCCAAGTATGTTCCTGTAGATCCTTCAAAAAAAAAAAAAGCAGATAGCCTATTTGGACCCTGCCTAGTTAGATGTAAGCGTGTCAGTTAGCAAAGTTATAGAAGAGAACTGAACAACCCCAGCGGAGTTTTGCTTCTTGATCTTTTTTTTTTCATTTAGAAGGATATTTACTGCCCCTTACAAACAGTAAGTAACACCTCAAAATATGAGGGAAGAGAATAATTAAATTTTGACAAATTATGATACCCTGACCAAAATGCTAGTCTCGGATTTCTTCTTCTAAATTTATTTCTTTTTATAACTAAATGATTGACAAAATTAGTCAAAATCCATATTCAGCATTGCTTAATGTGTCTTATATCTGCTTCTGTAAATAGTATACTGTTCTCATTTTTCATCAGTGTGCTTACGCTGTGAGTTCTTGTATGCCACAGATACTACATCATCACATTGCTGCCGTGGAAAAACTTCCCTTGACTACTTCTGGCTGCCCCCTTGTCATCCAGTGCAAGAACTTCAGGATAGTTCACTTTGTTGTTCCCAGAGAGAGAGATTGTCATGACATTTATAACTCTTTGCTTCAGCTGTCAAGAACAGGTAATAATTCTAACTGTAAAAGTCTTCGCAGTATATGCCTGGATAACAAGTTGCGGGGAGGAATACATAGCTTGTATAATTTTTTTTAAATGTGCATTATGTGAAAGTCTTTTAAATGGATTTGGTATGTAAAAGAATTTTAATGATTAAGTATTAATCTGCATACAAATTCAAAGATGTGTTGTCTGGCTTTTGTAGGTCACTGATGTTCATTAACAGAATGCGAGATTCCTGTATTTTTTTCATTTCTAATGCTATCCCTGAAATTGTGAATATAAATGCATATAGTATTGCTTAATTGGCAAGATTTTATTATGGTGTTCCATAGTTAAAATGCTACTAAGCAAATACAAACCGATCTCAGGCAGTTTCAAAAAAAAAAGCTGATGTTTTGGTGCTAAAATAGCACTACTGATTCAGCTTTACAAGAGACTTCTGTCATCTAGTATGATCTTTTGCATTTGCTGCTTCGTGTTTATAACAATGTAAAATCTAGTCATCTGTGATATGTGAATAGTGTATTAAGAAAAAAAATATTTTGAAAGCTTTTTTGCTTTAAAGGAAACTTTAAAACTTACTGCCTTTAAAGGTCAGTAGATGTGAATTTCTGTTCTTGCCTCCAAAAATTGTTTGTTCTTTTAGCTCTTGTGAAGTCTTCTAATAATTGTGCCTTTTGACTTGTTTAATTTTCAGTCTTCATTTTGTGACTTCTGCTTTGCCATTATGGCTTTAGAAATGTCCTGGCTGAAATAGGTCAAGAAAGCTCTCATAACTTACCTTTAACTAAATATCTATAATTGTGTCAGTTAAAAGTATGATAGTTGCAGAATAAATATTTCAAGAGTGTCAAGTATCTATTTAGTCTTGCTTCTGAGAATCTTGAAGCCTGAAACTTTCTCTGCAATTTGAGCAATTTCAAGACTTCTAAACTACCATTCTCCACTCAGACATTTTTGGGACAACTCATTACGTAGTCTTATTCTTTACCTTTTAGCAAAATATGAAGAACTGTATGCCTTCTCCTATAATCCGAAACAAAATGAATCTGAGCAAGTCAAAGGTTGGCAGCTCATTGATCTAGCAGAAGAATATAAGAGAATGGGAGTGCCAAATGCTAACTGGCAGTTGTCTGATGCAAATCGTGATTATAAGGTAAGTGTTGTAATGGAAACATGTTTTGCTCTGCATATGTTTCTGCTTTATCCTCTGACTCTAATCCTGTCGGAAACAGTCTAATACTATGAAATCACTTGGCTTGCTACATAACTCTCTCCACCTGCCAGTTTTTGCTTAACTCCTTAATCAGTGTGCAATCTCACAACTTTCTAACTGAAGTTTTTTCCAAGGCCTTATTGAGAGAGTATGTGTGAGTGCATGCATGTGTTCTTTGGGATTGTTTCTAGAGTATACTTACCTGTTTGAAGCCCAACCCCAGCAATTCTGGTGCTCTGCAGCTTTGTTACCTCTCTTAACTGAGAGTGATTCTACTTTAGCATTTGCAATGTTGGCTGTGGGAGACAACAGCTGTGGTGGTGCAGCTGATTCCCAGATTAGATTTCATCTTACTTTGTGGTCTGAAATACAAAAAATGAGGGAAATAATTTCAACATTTTGTTTGAAACACATCCTTAGTATTTCTACTAAAGAGTTGCATTCTTGAGAGGTGAATGCTAGTACAGCAGGACTTAGTTGTATAACTTGGATACCAATTTGTAGTACTTTATCCATGGCTTATCTCCTCTTCTGAGCTATTTACATGTGTAAGAGAAATATGTTGGTGTTTATCCTTTGTCTCTTATTTCACTTAACATCTCTCAATAAAACTAGTATAGGCTTTGTGCCTTGCACATAAAATTCTTGTTGTGTATCTGTCTTCCAGATTTGTGAAACCTATCCTAGAGAACTTTATGTTCCCAGAACTGCAAGCAAGCCCATAATTGTTGGTAGCTCCAAGTTCAGAAGCAAAGGAAGATTCCCAGTGTTGTCGTATTATCATAAAAATAAAGAGGTATAGTGTGTCTTCCGCTTAATGCAAATGTTCTGAAAAGTATTTCTCAACACTTGGCAGTAGTTCAGGGTGGGTAAGGAGGTAAGTACAGTGACTTGTATGAGAATGTATAACTCATGGTAACCTTAAATACAGCTGACACTAGTGGTGTCTAACAGGATGCTGAATTAAGCTAAGCCAGTTTAAAAGAAATCCTTAAGTAACCAGCTGATAATCAGTTGAATCTCTCAAAGTTTTTAGAAACTGACCTTTAGATAACTGAAGATAGCTTTTTGTCAAGTGATCTGTCTTCCTTGACATATCAAGAATAAAATCTGTTAGGTCAAAATGAGGGTTAAAAAAAAAAACCCCAATAAAACACCAAAAGAAGAGAGCTGGTTCTTTAAGGAGGAATTTGCAAGGTAAAATAATTAGAGGATGAGAAATAAGATTTTGCAGGGTTTGGTAGAGAGTGGTGTGAAGCAGCATCTGCCTGTCTCTGCTAGAGGGTATTTTTGAAGGGAGAGAAGGATTGTCACCTTGCTGAGTTGAGGAATTTATGAAGGATGAGTGTTAAGCTATTAGATGCGTTTGAAGATAATATCTACTTGGAAGATGCATCTGATGCCTTCTGAAATACAATATATCATTGAAAATGACATGAAAATTAAATTAGATGATAACATACTGTACTTGAAATAGTAAAATCTTTGTTGCAGTAGTAAACACAACCATAATTCATTTCATACGAAGAGAGTAACTTGCTTTCCTAAGTGTATTTTTTCCAGCCTATACTTTTTTGGAATTTTTATACTTGGGGAAAGTCCATTATGTAAACTGGTACCTTGCCCACGTAGATGAGCCTGAAAAAATGTTTTGATTAAACCTTTAGATTTAAGTTGTAGGTACTGTTTGAAGGTCTGCAAGTGATATGCTTAAAAGGTTGGAACACCTAAACTTTTTTCAGCTTAGTGCTGTTATCTGCCAAATGAAACAATTTTTTTCAGTGTCTTTAGAATTATGCAAAGCATTTCAACTACAGGTATTAAACTGATGCTAATTTTTTTTGTTTTCCATGGTAGGCTGCAATTTGCAGATGCAGTCAACCTCTCTCAGGTTTCAGTGCCAGGTGCCTGGAAGATGAACACATGTTGCAAGCCATCAGTAAAGCAAATCCTTCAAATCACTGCATGTATGTCATGGACACCAGGCCAAAGGTATGTACGTCAGGTTCTACAGACTAGCCTCTCTTCCTGAACATTAGGGTACAGGGATACAGTGTAATTCTGAGAAATTTGGAGTTAAATATGTCTTCATCATGGGCAAAAATGTTTTTTAAAGGTAAGGTTAGGCCTCTCTATTCATGTGTTTAATTACTTGCTTTCTTAAAGAAGTTGAACCCCTCTCAGGACACAGCTAGAATTCACTGAATATGCTAGTGAACTTTTGGGAAGGAGCATTTAAAAATACACTTAAAACATAGTTAAGAAGTGAATAGTTGAGTGGGATCCAAGTCATTGTAACTGTTTGAAATTAAATTCATGAAGTGGTGAGCTGTGTTGGAGTTTCTTTTAAAATGGGAAGGAGTACTGTGTTCTATGTAAATGTTCTATGAAAACCACTATTGCTGTCTTGTCGTAGCCAGGAAGAAGTAGGGGAAATTCTGTTGTAGTTTTCTGAGGTCATACTTCATCACTGTCTAATTAAATTGAATTATGTTGAGGTTTTGACCTGTGTTGGAATGTGTGGGGTAACTTTCACTCTTTAGATCCATCTGCATTTAAATTGGTATTCATTTCACTCAAATCTCTGAACACAGGAGCTGGAAAATGAGGATGTAAAGTGAAAATCGTACATTTATTTTGAGCAGTAGGTCAGTCTGACAGACTGAAACTGAGCCAACTGTGGGTTTTTCTTTATAGTTGTAATTTTTATAGCTGCAGCAATTTATTAGCTTCTTACCCCCAAAATCGCGATTTTTAGGATGCCTGGAAAGTGCATGTATGGTTAACTCTGGGTTTTACTCTTTCCTTTTTAGGTTAATTGTTTTCTAGTGTCTTTACTCAGAAATTTTTGTAATTAAGTAAAGGTTTGTTGGTGGGAATGTGGAGGAGAGAGTAGGAAACTATTAAATGCATTATACAGATATGTCAGCTCTAAATATAGACTGCCTGTTGCTTTTGACGTACCATGCCTTTCTTACACTTCAATGCATTCAAGTTGGTTTGCCACAAACTGTTAATTTATTAGAATCTTTTTATAGCAGTGCTCATGTGTGGTTTTTTCCCAGTGTATTCCATTGAAATTGCATTACTTTTGTTTCTTAATTAAGATCTTTATTTCAAGTACTGGTTTTCAGTATTTTTATTTTGCTCTTTTAAGCTTAACGCAATGGCAAACAGAGCTGCTGGGAAGGGCTATGAGAATGAAGACAACTACTCTAACATTAGGTTCCAGTTTGTTGGCATTGAAAATATTCATGTAATGAGATCCAGCTTACAAAAACTTCTGGAAGGTATGTTCTAACTGTACTATAATAGTATATATGAAAATAGGATAAATATTTTTCTGAAGTCTTTAATAATAGCTTACACAAACTGTATTGATATTTCTATATTTTATTCCAGCTCTGTTTAGTACCAGTTTGCTGTGCTCTGTGGTAATGAATTGCCTTAAACCTTTACCTTTAAACTGTGAACCCAATGAATGGAGTTATTTTGAAGAAAATTAACTGAGTGGCACGTATGTCTTGCGTGAACTTGATTAGTATGTCAGTGGCTTGTGGGAAAGACTTCTGTGTTTTCCAGGTATACATGCATGTATACACATGTGTAATATAAATACACAAAATAGCGTGTGTCTATACATACATTTTCATATATAGAATACTGATTCTTCAAGGAGCACTTAGTTCCACAGAATTCACAAAAAGCGTATGGTCTGTACAAAACTTGAGCTCTTTAGCCTGGTGAGCCACTTCTGTGCTTGTAGGTACATCTTAGAGTGTTTGTAGAGAGCGGGGCAGCAGGGAAGTGAACCACTTCACCATATTACTGCTTGCCACCTGGTGGTGAAAATGGAGAGGCAGAAGTCTGTTAAGTAATTCTGTTGATATTTTATTTAGGTAAACAGCTGAAAAGAAATTTAAGACACTTTGTGGAGTCTGAGATTAGATATATTAGGATACTGAGATTAGAGTACAGTGGCAGAAGTCGGGCTTCCACACCAAACAATACATATGTGAGTGCTTGCCTTCTAGAATTATGCAAATATTTCCAGTCATGGAGAAGGCTTACATTTGTATGGAAGCCTATTTTGATGAAGACGTTCTGGCTACGTTGGTCTAGAAATCTTACAGACTAGTGGTGTAGTCTTACGTCACTCTCATTGAGCCTGTATCTGCTGCTAACCTATTCTTCAGGCACTCTGTCTGGAATACTACAGAGCTTTGATAATATGTATTTTTGTGGTTATTCCTGCACGTACTTATTGAAGGGAAAGATGAGCAGTGTGAGCCTGAACTTCAGTTTTTAAGTTTGGCATAATCCCTCTTTCTTTCACTAATATCTTAGTTCCAGAAAAGTAGCTAATAAATCTTGATTTACTTTTTTAAGAGGCCTTCTTCTGTGTTATAATATCTGATGCAGAAGTGTGTGCATCACACAGTTAAACTTTACAGACTTCATATTCCTTCCATTTGACTTAGCATCCCACCAACAGTACTTACTAAATATCTTTCTATAGCTTTCATTAAGGATGGAATATGTTTTAGTTTTTCCTTGTGTGGAGGATTGGTTTATTTAAACTCAAAACAAAATCATGAGTAATGTCTATAGTTGTTCTCCAGGTCAGGTTTTGGGGTGAATGAACACAGTTTTTCTACCTCTATTCAGTCCATATAATTCACTAGAGTTTTGCTGAATGCCAGTCTAGAAGTAGAAGCATCTTAAGGGGTAGAAAGGACCCTTAAAATTTAGGGAGGTATACAATAATTTACTCTTCAGACCCATGTAGAAATGTGCCATCAGTGGGGTGATCAGGAAGGAAATGCTATGAAAGTGGTTCATAGCTTAAAACGAGGAAAATACTGTTTAATTTCTGTGTGCTAACTTCCCCTGGACATGCTGAATTGAATGTTCTCAAATCAGGAATGTGATACCAATGACCCTGTTTGTTCAAGAGCCATTGTAACTGGGACTGTCCTTAGTTTTATTTATAATAAACAACTGTTATTCATTCTTCAGCATGTGTCTTGCTCCTAGGCTCTTTGTCTGTCTGCCTGGTTTCCTTCAGAATCTTAGGATTTCATTTGCAAGCAGAATGTAAGACATGATCCTTCCCAACATCCTTTTGTAATGGGACTACACCATGGAGCATGCTAAGGGGGATTTACAGTCTATTCTTCATCTTGGATTCAACTGTATTTTCAATATCTTGTGTGCAGTGAAACAAAACTTTTCTAAAATAGTTTTCGTCAGTGTGGACATAATGACTCTGCTCCCCTGATGGGCAGACTGCCCATCTATACAACACTAGTGGAAGAATCTTCACATAGACTAAATTTGTGCCTGCGGTATTAAATAAAGTCCTGTTTTTATATATTCAAAAATATAGTATTACATGTCAGAAAAGATTGAACTCTGATAAGCAAGAAAGTTTTGCATATGGCAAGAAATAGCATTTCTGCAGGAAATATTTGAGGAAAAGGCTCAATAATAGCTGCTGTGGTCTGCTGCATGTATTTTGATGATGGATGTATGTTAACTAAGGGTTTTTTTGTGGGTTATGTGGAGTATCTGTATGGGGGATGGGGTTGTTTGGTTTTGTTTGTTTATTTGTTAAAACCAGCCTCTGCTCCCAACCCACTGTGCTCCAGTCTGCAAGTTCTAGTCACTTGTTGAACTGCTGCCCGAAGCATTGCTAGCAGTGCGTATAAGGACAATCAAGCAATGGAACATTGAGGTTTTGGGGCTCGCATGCAGGGCATGTGTTTTTGATGGGATCCATATAGCCAAAACTATCTTGAATGGTAGTTATTGTGAAGTAGCTAAACATCTTAGTGGCACCATAAATCATCTTTGACGCTTTTAGGGACCATAAGGGACTGGAAATGACTTTTTTCAGCATATAATTGTCAATGCAATTGCTTTATTTCATCACTAAGTAGTATAAAAATGTCTGTGTTAATTCACAGAAATGGAAAGTAATTCTTTGGGCTCAACATACGTGTTCTTATCTCTGCCTTGGTTTATAAAAATATAGAAATGTAGCTAGAAGGGGGAAATACTACTGATGAAATATTTCTACCAAGCTGAAAATTCTGATCAAAAGCAGATTTTGACAGCAGTATCTGGGTGAAAGCAAACTGAGGGCTAGAAGCCTGTTTTCTAGCTGGAAGTTTGTGCTTTAAACAATAAGCTGCAGAATGTAGGGGGGAGCAGCCATGAATAGTGCCTCTAGACATTGCCTTGTCTATCCAATCCCTTCCCTGCAGATGTTTGAATTTCCAGATATTTTAATATTTTTAGTTTCTTTCCTTTACCATAGAGTGGTGGACCTGTTTGTGCTGTTGTAATTGAACAGGTGTATGGAACCACTGGTGTAGAGATAGTGTGAGGTAGCTGAAAGGATCAAGTAGCTCTCGGCTGATTTCTTCCATGTGCTAGACATTTCAGAAGCAGAATTCTTGCCTGATGATTCTATCTAATTCAAAGACTGGGGAAAACTATCATAGTTTTTGCTGCTTTTACTGATATTTGCAGACCAACCTTTAAAATTAGGTCTTGTATCCAGGGGCTTCTTGATGTTTTGTTACCTCATTGTGCTATGGTTTGGTATATAGTTTTGTAGATGACAAAGATCTATGGGCTTTAGAAAAGGTGCTGTGATACTTATTTGGAAGCTTGTCTTTGTTATAGCATTCAGCAGCAACTGGCACTATGACTTTTCCTGAGCAATGGGGAGTATACTTGTATAGCTGAAAGCTGAGAAACATGTAGTGCAGATACAGGAAAGCTCCTTGAGGCAGTGGTTTAAGAGTTTATAGCCTTCATTACATCAGGGGACTTGACTGAACAGAATGACTTGGTGAATTTTGTTCTCTACTTTTCCTACTCATAGTCAGAGATAAAGATTATTTTACAGGTGCTGTATGAATATCCCCATTGCTAGCTTTTGGCTACAGAGCCTTTTATTTTCATTTGGGGCCCTCTAGCTTAGAACCATAGAATCATTTAGGTTGGAAAAGACCTTTAAGATTATCAACTCCAACCATTAAGCTTGGTAGAAAATAGGCTTCTGCTGTGGCAGGGGCAGGTATTTTTGCAGATGGCAACCTCGGGTATCTTCTCTTAGAATCACACATAGCTGAAGTTATATTAGTCAGTGACTATTTCTTTTCTTATTGCCGGAAGTTTGTCATGTTTGGACAGTAATGTAACTGTGTGAGCTGCTACTAAAAATCGTACAAGAACCAGGTTATCTCTCTCATTTGTGAATTGGTAAGTATCTGTGTGAGAAAATTTCAGTCTACTTCTACACCTCTTGCCGCTACGCTGCAAGGCATCTTTCCTTTAACTTGTGTTCTTCCCTGCCCTCTCAATTGGCATTATTGTTACAGGATCAAAGTATACTAGGGAAGAATGGTAGAGATCAGTCAGAATTGTAGTATGTCAAGTCTGGAGGTAGACAAAATCTCAATGGTTTTCAGTTCATCACCATGTCCTTGTACTGCACTCACTTTATTCTCTTAAGCAGAATGGAGAAGGTGATGAACCTCTGGCAGTCTGCCTACTCTGAACTGTGTATATTGTCTGGATGCAGCTACTTATTACTAGTAGTTGTAATTTTTAAGTGTTTCTGGTAAGCTTTTGGCATTTGCATTGCCTTCCTTGGTAAGGCAAGAGTAAGGCTCCCTATTGGGGATAACCAGTGTATTTACTTTGAATGTTACTTTGTCAAAAAGACACAAAGATTTTACTCTTGTCATTCATGGTTACTATAGTTCTACAGAGTTGAATTTTGGATGGAGAACAATTTGTAGTACCCCTCTCTTAACCATTTGAGTGGTGGTTTCCTGAAAGACTTCTAATCAAAATATACATTATTAGAAACAATATACAATTATTCTTCTTTCTCCGTTGCAGGGTATAGGTAGCTAACTCTTGGTTTCTTTCAGTCAGTGGCACAAAAGGTTTGTCTGTCAATGACTTTTTGTCTGGTTTGGAGAATTCTGGATGGCTGCGTCACATCAAAGCTGTGTTGGATGCCGCTGTCTTCCTAGTCAAGGTAACTTGCATGCTGCTGCTTTATTTGATAGGAAGTTGACTTGCTACCAGGCAAAATTATGCTTAATATTATGTAATGTGTAAAATGCTGCAATTGACCTTTTTGGAGGTAGATGCTTACTATACACCAATACATCTGATATACTGTTTTAAGTATTACATGTTTCTTTGATTGGAGATGTTAAATATGCCAGCTAATGTTTTGGGATTTTTTGAATGCTGTTTGGTCACCTTATTGGGAGATGAAGGGATCCTTATGCTCCCTGGTTCTTTTAAGTATTTATGAAAGGTGTAACCAGTTTGGAGGTGGATGGAGCAAACTATTATTTAGTGTACCCTGAAAAACAGAACTCCTAGGGCACTAATTGCAGAGAAGCCAAACTGGTTATGGTGACTTCATTTGGCAAGGAAATGGGACTCTATGAAGAATTCAGAGGAACAATTGCCTTTGCCAGGCACCTATGAAGCCAAGGGCTTGACTGAGGGGGGCTCAGTGAAGAAAAAACCTGGATCTTTGTTTTTACTAGGTGAAATAACAAGGAATTACTTTAGCTAAAAGTAGATGATTCTCCTAAAGATGCCCCTCAAAAATATCTGGGCTAACAGGATTTGAATTCTTAGCTGAAGTTAATAAGCATTTCCTAGTCCTTAACTTTTGTGTAGTATAATGATGAACAAGTGGATATCTTTAATGATGTGTTTTTGTTGTTTTGGTTGTTTTAACCTGTTTAGTCTGTAATATGTAGTCTACTTCTTTCTTAGTATGCATTGCAAGGGGTTTTTATAAGTTTAGTTTTATAAGGGGTAGAAGGAGAACTGGCAACCACTGTAGGTGTTCTTGTTACCTTGTGCAAAGATGGTAGTGGGATTTCTTTTCTTTATAAGGAATTTTCTATACTTCCATGCAGAGAAATTCCTAGCTTTCTGATAGTATCAAATCCTTTCCTCATAATAAACATTTTTCTGGCTTTGTTAAATAAAATGGTGAGTTTGGGATAAATGATCTTTTGCATTTATTTACTAAACTTTTACTTCTGTCTAGAATAGAACATTCACTAAGAAACAACTGTGTTTTGCAGGCAATAGCAGTTGAGAGCGCGAGTGTGTTAGTGCACTGCTCAGATGGCTGGGATAGGACTTCCCAAGTTTGTTCTCTTGGAGCTCTCTTACTAGATTCCTATTATAGAACAATCAAAGGATTCATGGTAAGCAAGCTGTTGCATTGTTAAGTTGTTCATTGGTAAATAAAGGATGTAAAGTGTTTGAGTGTGAAAGGGAGCAGTGTAAACATACTGATGCTTTTTTTTTGTAGTTAAAATATAAGATTAGCAGCATATTGATAAATCTTCCTTTTAGAAATACTTTGCTACTGGGAAGAACCATTTATTTAAAATCTAAAAAACTGAGATACAAATAGTGGATTGCATTAGGCACTCTGCAGAAATGTTGTAATGATTGCCTCTTGCATCCAAAAAAGTCCCTTATCTATGATGTATAAGGATTCCAAAGTGCTTATGTGAGATAGTAGATGTACTAAATTACAGCAGCTCTGTGCTTTTATCACTTGTCCCCAAATCAACATTATTAAAATCTAAAAATGACAACTCCCCCAGTGACAGAGACTTGAAGATATTTAAGCAATCTAAATTTCTTCATCTTTCTGTAGAGAGGAAGAAGAATTTCTGTATGATTATTCCAAATTTTTGAGTAGGAAAATCAACAATGTTCTGCAGTGGCAATACAAAGTGTTATGGAAACTCCTGAAAGATAGTACATAAAACTAGTTCCATGTATTGGTTAGAACTAACTGCCACAAATACTACAAGCAACAAAAGTGAAGTTGAGGAGGAATTAGAAGAGGATTCATTTCTTGTGAATAGTGAGAATGTGTGTAATATTTAGGGAAGTAATTTAATCTTTTTGTTTTTTAGTCCTCACTGTCAGTTAGATTTCTGGGAAAACTTCTGCAACAGGCAGGCAGTCCTATGTTCCTTTTGGTGCTTGATAATGTGACTGAAGTGATAAAACAAGCTAGTGTTGATATCAACAAACTTATTGCTATAAAATGTTACAAAGATTATATTGTGTGGTTTTATGTAAACTTGGATAGCAGGAATACAATACTAAAATTTTTCCTATACTTTGCAATTTTTTGCAAGTTGGTTGATAATCTCCTTGAAGTCATAAACATTAGTATGCTTAAAGCGAGCCTGGCTTAACAGCAGTTATCTGATTGTCAACTTGCTAAACTTCTTTACTAGTTTTAGAAATGTGCTTTGAGAATCTCCTGTGAAAGACTTCCAAGAAAATAAAGGAACTACAAAGTGACAAATAGTTGCCCCTACTGTAGTTTATTTGACTCAAATTTTAGATACAATATATCTATAACCTATGGGGTTAATACCATAGATGTAAGATTGAGTAACATTTTACATGAGATTTTGGTTTCTTTTACTCTAGGTCTTGATAGAGAAAGACTGGATCTCTTTTGGGCACAAGTTCTCTGACAGGTAGTTCACTCTTCCAACACTGTAAAATGTATACAGTGAACTGAACTAAGTATTCTTAAAAATAAAAGACAACTTGTGGATGTTAAACTACTGCAGTGTTGATAGAAACTTTGCAATGAGTAAGCTATTTTCAGCAGACAATGCACTTTGTATATTGCTATTTATTCAAATAGCTATTGGATAATTGATTTAATTATAGACATAAATTTCTAGTGCTACTGGTGCCTCATTCTCAGATGTCAGTGACTGCAGTTAGGTCTGCACATATGCATAGACAGTGCAAAACCAATCTAAAGCTACGTCCCAGCTACTTAGGCAATATAAAATACTTAGTTCTGATATCTTTAAAAATGAGTTTACATTTATATTTACTTCTAGTGATGAAGTCACACCTACCTTTAGAAGGCCTTTATGTTAAGAGTTCTGTCTTTTCCCTTGATCTGCCTATCATCAGCTATGACAATAGCCTTGCTGCTATTTACTGCTTATTAATTTGCTTTTAGCTGGTATACTCCAAACATTGACTATGGAGGTAATAGACACAAAGGAACTTAACTGTCTTATGTTGCTCTTCTGTACTGAATACAGATGTGTGATTATTTACAAGTCAGAAAAATAGGTTAAATGTAGACTTATTTCTATTAAAAAATTGCCCCAGTTCTCAAAGTTAGGTGCTTAATCTCCAAACCAAAGCTAGTGTCAAACTAATGTGCTGTCATTTAAAAACAAGTGCAACTAAGACTTTTTGATTTCTAACTTAAACTGGTTTCAATCTGTTTATGAAATCTTTTTCAGGTGTTGTCAGTTGGATGGTGATCCAAAAGAGATCTCACCAGTGTTCACCCAATTTTTAGAAAGTGTGTGGAATCTGACCGAGCAGTTTCCACAAGCCTTTGAGTACAATGAAGCTTTCCTCCTTCAGATCCATGAACATGTCCATTCATGCCAGTTTGGTAACTTCCTTGGAAACTGCCAAAAAGAGCGAGAAGAACTAAAGTAAGCAGACATATTGTAATGTATCTTCTGTTTATTCTGGCAGACTAAGAACTCCTGTGAATCTTTATTTTAGGCTCTGAATAGAAATAGAGACAGGACTGGTAGTACTGAATATGTTGAACTGCATCAGGGAACAGCAGTGCTTCTCGTGCTTTTGCACACTGAAGACAGTCTTTCTAATTCTGGGAGAAAATCCCAGAATGGATTTTAAGCCTTAACATGGAAAGTTAAGGCTTCTTTTTCCCTCTTTTTTTTTTTTTTTTTCCCCCTAAAAATAGGTAAGCTTAAGTTTACTAGTATCACTTCATTCCCTCTCCCAATCTATTCTTAGGTAACCTTAAAATTCTTTCCTGCTCAAGACTAATTACTGTCAGTTAGAAGTATTAATAAGATGTCTCCTAATGCTTTCAGTTGGAAAAGTTCTGTAAAGTTTTCATCAGTTCATCTATGTCTTAAACTGTATTTTAAAAGCATTTATTGCAACTAGGCATAACTCGCCCAGCATAAGCAGTAGTACTCCTAAAACTGACAATTCTATCCAACATTAGCATATGCCAGGAAGAAGTTGATTTTACTAAGAGCTATTAATTCAAGATTTATAAGTATTTCTGGTAACTTTTTTAAAAAAAGTTAAGATCAATTTATTATGTTGAGTTGAACAGCTTCTGTCTTTTGCTTGCAGTCAGTGTCTTGACCTTGATCTCTTCTTGCTTTAAGATTAAAGCAGAAGACATACTCCTTGTGGCCATTCCTTTTGGATGAACAAAAGAAATACCGGAATCCTCTGTATAATCCAGACTTTTCTCCAGAACTAACTCTTTTGGAGCCTAATACAGTATCATTCAATTTTAAGTAAGTTTAAATTATATACAGTACCTCTTCAATTTTGTCTTCATGCTGCATAGTTAAAACTGTCTGCTTCATGCAGGTTTTGGAGAAATATGTATCATCAATTTGATCGAAGTATGCATCCCAGGCAATCTGTGTTCAATCTTGTAATGAACATGAGTGAACAAAATAAACAACTGGAGGAAGACATTAAAGAACTGGAAGCTGTAAGTATTACAAAATAAGCATGTGTACTTGTGACTTGTTCTTCAAATTCACATTTATAGTCTGTAATAATGCTGCTAGCTTTCACATGAATGTCACTACTGTATGGCCTAGCAGTTAATTCTGTGTAATGTTGACTTTGACTTTCACTGTATGCTTCCATGCTGAAGGCCAGACTATGCAGCCAATGTTTTGCTCTTAGGCACAATTTGTTTTGCTTTACTGATGAACTGTATTATGTAAAAGTGCTCCTACTATCAAAGCATTACTGAAGATGGCTTAATGTAGGTTAAATTTATGTGAAACTTATCTTAGATAACAAGGTACCTATCATAGTACAGCTATGTTGCTAAACCAAGGAGACTGAAAATGTTTTATTTCCATTATAGCTACTAAAATGGAAGCAGTATGTATTGTCCTTCTCTTAATTTCATATGCAGGTGCATGCTGTTGTAAGTCGCCATAATTATGGGGCATATACATTGTAATGTTTACTTGAAGACAAGGCTAAATCCAGAGATCAGATTTCTGTAAACGACTTCTGCTAGGTGCTATGGTAAAGAGCCAGGAAAGACTGAACAGTGTATCTCACTTTATTCTAGGATGCCTTTATCAGTGGCTCTTAATTGATACTTCATTTTAGTCAGTTAAGGTGCTGAAACTTCAGAATAATACCTTTCAAAAACACAAAAGTCTTCTAATTATCAGTTTTACTTCTTTGTGTGGCTAGAAATGGTAACAACTTCTGTATGTTATGTGGGAGGGGAGGGAGGGGAAGTACAGCTTTTCTAGGAGGAAAGGTTTTATTAAACTGATCCTACTATAATGTAATGAATGCAGGTCACTTAAACTGTTTCAAATCTTAATTGTATATTTAAAAGCTTTTATACAATTGAAGCAGCAAGATGAAAACTCAAGATGAAGCAAGCTGAAGAATAAGCAAGATGTAAAGTGAAGTCTCAGTTTTTAATTTTCTAGAACCTTGTTCCAAGGTGTTAACTTCACCTGAGCCCACACTTCTCACTTGAGTGATGAAGTGATGTAGTTGTTTGAAATCTTGATGTAGACTTTCCTACTGCTGTTTCCATCTTCAAAAAGTTGGTGTCAAGAGACACCAAAGTTTTCTAGGCTCAGTTTCAGTTCTAAGAGAGCACAAACACATCAACAAAAAAATCAGTTCAGTTAACTACTTCAAGCTCCCAGTTACTGGGTGAGACTGTTTGAATTTAAAAAAAAAACCACAACCCCTTAATCCAAATCTTTCTTCTTCTTTTGCTCAGTGCTTGCAGGTTAGGTCCTTTCCTCCAGTCCTGCTTTCTAGTTGACATCTTTTAGTGTATTCCTGCATTTGAACAAATTGTATTGGCATTTTTCAGATCTAAAGGAAAAGTCTTTTAGAAGGTTTTCAGGAAGGACATAAGGGCTTAGGTATGAATCTGCTCTTTGTCTTTGAGACTCATGGTCTACTGCTGACTTCTGCTTGCTAATAGTACCAAGGCCTGTTTTCCTTTGCCTGTGCTCCAGAAAGTATTCCCATCTTGATAGCAACCAAACAAGGGGCAAGCCTGGAAGAACCTCTCCTTCTCTACAGACATTGACAGACAACCTTTCTGCCTTCTGCTCAGCTGCAAATTTTAAGCATACAGTGCTTGTAGCATCTGCTGTAAACTGTGGGGAAAAATGTATTATCCAGTGGCCTAACACTTAATAATACTGTTACATATCTAACCTAGGGTATGTAATACAGGGTTCTGCAGATGCCGAGTTGACCAGCAAAAGAAGTGGATTCACTTCCTTTCAAAGCAGAATATTATCAGTAAAGCAGTCATGCTCACTGTTAGTAACTATTCTCTGTATTTCAGAAAATAAAGCGGAGAAATGGGCAGTCAGATGCAGTCCTTGTGAAGGAACATCAGCAGTCTGCGCATCCTGCACCCATGGCACTGAAGACCCCTCCGTGTTTCAAGAAGGAGCAGCCACTGATCCCTGTGAATGATGCTGTGAGAACTATAGAGGGCAGCAACACAGCAGACAATCGCTACAGTGAATTTGTGGCAGAGTTCTCAAAAGCTGAGCCTGCTGTTGTCAGCTTGGAGTACGGAGTGGCCAGGATGACCTGCTAATTAAAATTTGGCACTGTGCTCCTCTTCTAGATTGATTGAATTGAGGTGGATTATTTTGAGGATGGGTCTGTGCTGCATGACCAAAACATGATTTGTGTATCGGCAAGTTTTGTTAACGTAGACTAGAACAGCATGCTAGTTGTCAAGTGTTTTGCTGTTCTTTTAAGAAAAAAAAAGTGTAGTTGTGTTTTAAAAGAAATAGGGGCATTTGGTAAGTAGTGACTAAAAATCAAGGAATGGTATGTCTTTGGACTTAACTCAGTTTGCACTAAATTGATTAAAACTGTAATATTACTTTATTTGGTATAGGAAAACACAGGTGGTCTTTCACAGATTGATTTTATTTGGGCAAGAAAACTTGAACTTTCTATTTTAGGAACCGAAGCTACGTGTATATATCGCATAACATATGAATATGTATACCCTTGTTTAATGTCACCCAGTAATAACTTTCAGTGTGTTAAGTGCCATGGAAAAGTACAATATATTTCAAATCATAAATAGTTGGCCTTAAACCTGTCACAATGATATTGTTGTCCTTTATTATTGCAGTCTATCTGGCTCTGTTTACATTGTATTTGCTCAAATTGTTATTTCCTTAAAACAGGACTGAATATAAGGAATGAAGCATACCTAAGCTGGCACAGCCTTTCGGCAAATAGCTATATGAATGTTAACTTATCACTGAAGACTGTTCTTTCTTCCAATTCCTCTGTCTAAAATGTAATAGATTGGCCTGATTTTCTTCTCTGGCAGCTCTGTAGATTGAGCATCATTGAAGCTACAATTTGTGTCTTACAAGATATTTAAGTGTAGAGTAAAAAGAGTAAAACATGTCATGTAAGAAAACAAAACTTAACCAATTACTGAATTGTCAAGTTCATTCAGATTGTTTACTGTGTGCTGTGCAGTTGTTCAAGTTACAAGAATGGAAGCAGAAGTTTTGGAAGTGTAGTCTACTGACATTGTTCCCAAGTATAAAAAAGTCATTCATGTGTCTGAAGCTTATGAGAAACTGAGTGCCTCCTAAATGTTTTGTTAGAAGAAAATTTTCATTTTTGGTGAAACCCCCTTCTCATCTTGTAAAAACTTGTCCAACCTGTGCATATTTTAAGTAATTTCAGTACAGTCTGGAGACTCTTATGTAATTGGAGAGAGGACAAAAACTTCTTCTAGCAGGATGCAGTAGAGATCATGGGACATAAGAAAAAAGGGGGAAACTTACAATTTGTAAGCTTAATTATGTATCTGTAACCTTCTAGTAAGGGGGGAGGTTTTTGCTGAAGTTTGTCTCATGATGGATTTTCTGAGTAGATAACAGAATAGGGAAGAAAAACGCCGCTTCCCAGTTCATAGAGGTATAAATTATAACTTTGGGTATTAAGATCCGTAGGTATGATGTTAGATTAATGCTACTGACCTTTTATCTTTGGATTTAAATAACTTTTGATTACAAATGAGAATGAGTTTATTCTCATCCTAATCCCTGAAGTCTGTTTTTTTAAAATTGCTGGTTTGCCACACACAATTTGACATAATTGGCAGCATTTCCCTCTGTACCATATTGGATCCAGGACTCTATTAACAAGGCCAGTATAGGTCATGATCAAGTTGCACTTGTGAAGCTGTCCGGGAGAAATTAACTGTGACTCCTGTATTTGAGTATTAATTCACCTGTTTCACTAATTTTTTAAAAGCCTATAAGTGTAAATAAAGGTTTGTGAGTATTTTTATTCCCAAAGATGAGAGTATAGTGTCATCTTGAAAATACACTATCCAGTCATTTTAACACATTTAGAATTTCTCCACTACAGGTTTTGATAGTTTCACGCTTGCACAGTGGTGCCTTACAGGGTTGCAGCAAGAGAGGTTTTTGTGCCTTGTTATTTATTGTCTCCCTTTCTCCCTCACTTTCTGTATCAACTTGGTTCTGTAGTTTTCCTTTGGAAAAACATCTTGTATATTAAGCTTGTGTTGTATCACAGTAGTGACAAATTTATCACTGACAATATAGATAAGTGTTATCAATTTGCACTTTGTTTTAATACTTAGCTGCTCTGTTATGCCATGTACATTTTCGTATTGTTTAGAGTTTATAGGCTCAAAGGATTATATTAAGCTTTTTTGCAAATATTGTTGTAATGTTGTTTTTACTTGAACAGCCATCTGAGTACCCCTGTATACAAGGCTTTTAAAGGGAAGATCTGTTATCTGTTCCCTTTCAGTACTGTTAAAATGAGTTTATTTCAGTCTTCAGGCCCTTTTTATTGGCAGAGTTTACTTCCTAGCAAAAGGAATCGGGATGCCTTTTTATTTTAAATCAAGGTAGGCATGTTAGGTGAGCTTTAAAATGCTATAAAACTATCTGCTCAAGCACGGAACCTGTTTCTTCATCCAAAATACAGTACTTCCTGATCTGAAGTAAATATTTTATCCCCGTTAATATGTGAATAGAGTTTTATAAGGCTGTTTTGTAGAGCAGCCTTCTGATAAAGTCCAGATACCTCTGCCAACTCAGCCCCCAGGGTCACCAGTGAGAAAAGTTCCTGCAGAGAGGCAGCTGTCTCTTCTCATTTGCTGTTTAGGCTTAAGCCAAAACTACCTAAAGCACATGGGACCTGTGGTGAAGTAAATAAATGGTAGCGAAGTGAGCTCCAACAGAAAGCTTGGCAGGGTGGCTGGGACTCAGCACAGTGGGGCTGTTCTGTGCCCTTCAAGAAGGGTTTAAAAAACATCAAGCAAGTTGACTGAAAAACTGTGGCAGAAGCTTTCTGGGAGCAGAAAGAATTTTAATTCTTCTTTCAGTGGATGAGTTTTTCTTCATCATGAACATGCTGCTTCAAGAGCAGTTACAATACTGAAAGGTGCCTGGTACGGCTCAAAATAATGTGCAGAACTCTTTCTCTTTCAAGCTGCGGTGTTAACATGTAATTGGTGCACTCATCAGTTGCTTGGGAATATAATGTCCCAGATAGAAGGTTGCTATGGTTGAGTCTGCTCCACTGGTTGCAAGACTTTGGCACCTGTCAATTCTGTGCTTCATTTTGAGAAGGTCTCAGTAAACTCCTTGGGTTTCTATGTTTTGTGCTATGCTTGATCTTTTTTCCAATCTGAATGCTATAAAAGAGAAATAATTCCTTTTAACTAACCAAGCTGATAGTCTTACCTGAGCAAGTAAAACTGATTCCACTTTGTACTCCAGGCAATTTAAAATATTTATTTCACTAGTACCAAAAGTGTTGGGCTTATTTTTGGGAGGCTTGCTATTGTCATAATGTATTCTTCAATACAAGTTTAAATATCCAACTGTTTGTTTTGTAGGATAACTGCCAAATCAACAGACTAAGAAATTAATTAAGCAACACTGAACTGAGCCTGTGTATTTTCCACACATGTCAAATTACTGGTGACCTAAATCTAGGGCAAAAGCCTGAAGCCTGGAGAGTCCATTTAGAGAATTGGAACAGCAGTCCTTCCATAAAACCGCACATCCCTCTGTGGAACAAATGCCCTAATATAATGTTCTTTTAGAGGGAAAGCTATCACAAATCAAGCTGTGACAGTTAGATGTGTCTCTTCCTCAGAATAAGCACCCTGGAGAATGCCTTGCTGGGAAAGGTGAGGTGTTCTTCCTCTGTAGCTTCTTCCTAAGGCCTTTTGATAAAGTAACACATCAGCAAATCTCTGAGAACGTGCTACTCCTGTTCTGGTAAACTAAGGACATAACTGGATGCACAGTTGGGCTGAAGTGGGGCTGGGGTAGCTTGGCTTAACTTCTGTCCTCTTAAGGAAGTGACATAAATAATATAAAGAAATTCAATGTTAAAATAGCACAGGGCACATGCTATCAACGTCTGTTCTTCAGAGTCCTGCCCTGCTCTTGAGCAAGTGTGGCTAGCATGAGGGCCTCACATAAGCATGATGATTGCTTTCTAGTTAGTTTCAAGATAATCTGATTTCAAACTAGATCATCCCTCCATCATCCCTCCACAGTGGTAACTTATAGGTCAGAACCTAAAGGTTGCTCTTAAAACTCTTCTTTAGTTTCTAATAGTTCTAAACCTGTAGCTGATTATAGACTTAAGTATACTGGTTGTGAAACCTATATTAACCTTTAGGATTAGATGTTTAGATTAGACTGAAGTCTGTTTTAACTTGCTTTCACCATTTATGCCACACTTTAAGTGTTGCTTATTGTGGTGCTTGAGATCTGTCTTTCACATGTAACAAGCTTCTTAATGCTTTGGATGTGTCAAAAACCTGGAAGTACTGTGATTTTCTTCCACTATTCTGAAGGCTCAGATTACTGAACAGTATGGGTGGGCTTATGTTTGATCTAGTTAGCTGAACCTGCCTACATGTTAAATAGCATTGAAAATCAGCACGGCATCATAATTCAAAGGCGTAATTTCTGTATGCACAATAGGCTTAAGGAAGAGGATGTAGCTGGGACCCTTGTCACAGCATGTAGCAAGGAACAGGACCCTGCTGGGGTATGACTCATAAAAAGTAGAAGCAGTAGAGCTGTTTTGATGTCCAGCAGCAGCTCAGGGACTTGAGGTGGAAGGTCAGAGGCATGCTGCTTCTGAGATCAGTTTCCAGGTCCCAGAGAATTCAATGACCTCGTCTATTAAACACTTGTAGTTGAACAATTCTGCACTGGCATCAAGCAACAGAAAATATATATGGATCTGTGTTTCTTAATCAACTGGCTTCAAGTAATAAATGCCCTGGTGGTGACTTTGAAATAGGGGTGCACTATTTTGTTTATTCTTGTTTATAGTTTAACTCTTGAGGTCAGTTGTATACTGTTTATAATTAAGTGGGATTATAGTTTTTGACAAGTTCTATAAAAGTCCTTTCCGTCTTAATGACAAGGTTAGCATGTACATATCTCGTGCTTTGTATCTCTGCATATATTTCTGTTGAATGCTTTTCTTGCAAGTAGGCAGTCTTGGTGAAGTCCCATGCCGCCCCACAAAGGCATTCCTCATTACCTAGCATTACAGATTGGTTTCCTTGCCCTATCTTACTGTTGCTCTTCAATCTTACAGTTTATCTTTACGGCTGTCTCTTGGCAATGTCCCTTAACAAACATCAAAGAAAACGGGTTTGTTGTTTTTCTGTCTCTCAGGGATTTTTACCCCTGAACTAGTGAACTTGAAAAATACTGCTTATTCTCCCTTTCAGGGCTTCTGA